AAAGCACAGTTGTATCAGTGTGTGCTGTGTAGATGCATTTCTGTGTGTGTGTCAGTACACCTGACTGTGTACACCTTTTTGCAAACAGGTTAACAAAAACTATATATAAAAGTCATAAATTAAAAGATAATTATACACACACGGGTATATCTCCAGGCAGGATGGAGACGGTCAATTACTGTGTACCCTGAACTCTGATTTAAGTCACTTGTTTGATGGTTAATACATCTTGTAGGTGTGTCGCTGTAGCAAGAATAACACTGTAACCCAAAACTATTTTTAGGCAAATCACCTGGCAGGAATCATGTAAGCTCAGTGGCTTAGAATAACAAATTGTTTAAAGGTCTGACAGGCCACAGCCAGTGGTGGAGGAAGTACTCAGATCCCTTTCTTAAGTAAAAGTAGCAATACAAAAGTGTAAAATACTCTTGCAAGTAAAGGTCCTGCATTCAGAAAGTTACTTAAGTAAAAGTGCAAAGTTTTTAACATCAAAACTTACTTAAAGTACTAAAAGTACTTATTATGCAGCTTGGCACATTTCACATGAATGTGCACCATATTATTGAATTATAATTGCTGATGCATTATCGTGTTCATCACTTCAGTGTTGCAGCTGGAAAAGGAGGAGCTAGATTTAATGCTTACAGTTTGAAGTATTTTACATACTGTTGGGTAACTTGTGAAGTTTCCACCAGAGACCAATAAAGTCTTATGATTATACTGTCATTGTAATTTTTGTATTAATCTGGCTCTGAAAAGTGACTGGGTAACTAAAGTTATAAAATAAATGTAGTGGAGCTAAAAGTACAGTATTTGCTTCTAAAATGTAGTGAAGCCAAAGTATGAAGTAACAGAAAGTGAGAATACTCGGGTAAAGTACAGATACCTCAAAACTGTACTTAAGTACAGTACTTGAGTAAATGCACTTAGTTATTGACAACAGCAGCAGATTTTAGTCCAGTGTTCCACTTATGTCGGTTATTCTTGCATTTACTTTTCTGTGTCGGTGTAAGCAGCACTCTGCGTGTATTTTCCAGATATGTGGACGTGGCCAAGGCAGCGGGAGTGTCCTGTCGCTGTTTCCACTTCTCAGCCTCTCTGGAGCAAGCCAAACACAACAACAGAGTAGGACTCACCTCTCCACACTATCAGCTTTAACCCCCTGCTAGTTTGTTTTGTCCTGACTGGTGATGAATCTCTATGTTTTTTTAAGCATTAATGTTGATCTTGTTCCCAGTTCCGTGAAATGACTCCATCAGACGGCAAACATGCCAAGGTCAATGACATGGTTTTTCACAGCTACAAGTAAGTGATTAAAAAGTCTGACATGTAGGGCTTTGAATACTGGTAGGAATCAGTTAACACTAAGATAATGAAAGTATGAAAGGTTTGTAGACTGTGGTATTAACTGTGAGTTTTATTTGATATTGTTCTGATCGTTTTAATTTGTCTCTCTCCCTCTCTCTGGACAGGAAAAACTTTGTGGCCCCTGCTCTTTCTGAGGGCTTCGTGGAGATCCTCCAAATTCACTTTGTCCCAGACTTTAAAGACGGCCAGTCAGAAACCTTGTTCAGACAGTTTTCTGAGGGCTGATTGGACAGCTTGATCTTTGACAACCAGTGAAAGAGCTGAGCTCTTAGATACAAGCAGTAGTCATAGAAAAACACGCCACGTTAGTCGGTAGATATTGAGGTTTTTATTTCAGCTGATGGCCTCTAATTTCAAAGACATGTAATGCTCTAGATTTGCAGCACAGAATCAGGTCCTCCCATTCAAACAGTATTCACGTGAATGTACTGACATATTGCTGTTATATATGTGCTTTAGAAATTGATTGTTTTTTACACAGTGGGTTTAGAAAGAATAGAGTGCAAAAAGAATTATTTTATGTGCTGTGTATAATTTAACTGAAGTCTTTAAAAGTAAGCTTCTGTGCTGCCACTGCTATGAAAATATTAGCAATAAAGCTTCAGGAAACACTTAATATTACTATGTGTTTGGCTATGATTGTTCCCATACTTTGTGGATGAGCTCTGTTGAATTCTGCTTTCTGTGTTTTGTTATCGTGTCTTAATGAAAGCCTTGGTCAGCCCCAGGCAGGAACTGGATCTCCTCACCTAGATGCTTTTTCAGCCAAGGCAGTATCTGGAAGACGTCAATGTGAAAGTCTCGTGCGTTAGGGGGTGGCCTGTCCCTGCTGTACCCTTTCAGAGCTGGATCTGCTCTGTCACATACATTTGTGGTGCCCCAGCTCAGTACTCCCACCTAGGGACGAAAGCAGAAGAAATGTTGAAAATGATAGCGATTACACTGTGTGCAATGCTCAGGCTCTTTATAAATGAGAAGTTTACTGACCTGAAAGTAGCGATTCAGTTTTTGCAGAACAAGGGATCCACCAGAGTCACCTATACAAAAAAGAGACTGTTACTGTGATGTGAAGCCCATGTTGGTCTGTTGGTAATGGCTATCATCAAGTAAGTGCAGAGTCCAGACCTTTGCAGCTGATTGCGTCTTGGTATCTCGAGGTGCCCCCAGTGCAAAGGAATCTTTTGGGAATATACTCATCCAAAGTGACATTGGTGGGCTCTTTTAGTGTTTGCCTGGCCTTCTCCACACAGCCAGCCCTCTGCAGACAGCCAAATAGCACACATGTTGACACTTGAAATAATCAGTTTCCACCGCATTACTGAGTATGAGCATGAAGGCAACCTGACAGCTGCAGAGCTCTCACCTGTCTCTCTGTGTGAATATGCGTTACTTTGCGCTGTGAGTCTGTGAGATGTGATTTTGTATGGAGGAAAAAGGCTGCGGTCTCCTCGTGTTGTAGAAGTTCCTTTCCTGTATACATGCATTAATTTCACTTAGTATACTTGAGAATTTATTCAGGATTTTGAGACTCATCTGTATTTCATATTATTAACACAATGTTAATAGAGGAAAACTCTGGCCTTCCATAATGCTATTATAAATGTTTCTCTAAAATGTTTTTGTCTCATTTGTCACCGTGAAGATCAAAAGGTCACATACTGTGCTGCTGACAGGTAGAGTTGATTTTTTTCAAGGCTCGGCTGGCTGGTACAGTACACGGCAAACAGATAGGTCTGTTGTATGACATACAGTATACACACTCAATAAAGGCATTTTGAAATGTTGCATACATTTTTTACGCGAATAAAGTTAGTGTAGCTCTTTGGTGTATCATACCTGGCCTTCCAGGACAGCGGGATACTGTTGTTCAGCTCTATCAGGGCTATGTCGTAGTCATAGAACTCTGATACATTTCTGTGTTTAAGTGCATAGACGTTGTACTTGGGGTGCATGAAGATTTTTTTGGACTCCACTGTGCCACCACCTAGAAACACATTATGTTTCAATATATTAGGGTGTGGAGTCAACAAACTGGTTAAGTGTAGGAACTTGACCTGCCATTTTCTGTAACTAGTGAGTTGAAGGCATCCACGTGATTCGATGACAATATAGGCTTGAAAAGAGCTCTTGTGGTATTATATGATTGGGATTAAAACACCTACAGCAGGTACAGTATTTCAAGATTATGTATATTACTAAATTACTATTTGATCTAAAAGAAAGTACTGCTCCAGAACAAGTTTTCATCAGCCCCTTTCTTCACTTTTCTTTTTCTCCCACTTATTTTCTTTTATGTAGATCTCAATCTCTAAAGCATTTTCCCATTTTGACACTGACCATGATGTATCGTCACTTGGTAAGTGATTTCATTTGCACTCGTTTTGGCAAAGCAGTGAGCAGCTGTCAGCACCCACTTCTCGCTCAGGATGGATCCAGAACACTTGTCTCCCAGTCCCACTGGCTATAGGGAAGAAAGTGTTACGTATGTGTGAAACCCCACTCTTAAAATATCAAACATATAAAATCATTGTCTTTTTATGATTTTAGTGACTGAGTGTGCAAATTTCTTACTGGTTTCAAAATAACATGCCACGGCCTGGTGTAGACTTCGTCACCCTTCACCATGTCCAGGTCCAGTTCCTGAGCTATCCCACACGCTGTTACACTCTTGTCACCTTTATTATGAAATGTAATCTTGTTAATGGTTATAATTAGTTAATCATTGTCATTCTGAAAAGATCAAAACAAAGGTTGTTGTCTTCTTTTGTTGCAGCAACCAGAAAACACCTCAGCATCTAATGAAGGTTATAGAGTTGTTTCCTACTTACTAATGATTTTATTGAACACCTGTCCCAGCTTATTGAAGTCTTCCAAAATGAAGACGTGTTCTTCATCACGTTTATGTGAGGCTAAGGCATTCAACTCTTTTCTGTTCACTTGGTCCCCAACACCAAATACATAGACATCTGAAAACACACACACACACAGATGTACTTATACTACATACGGTAGGAAAGCATTTCGACATACACATTTTGATTGTCTCATTTTTGATAGCTTGTAATTTTAATGATGCAGAAGCTGTTGCACTCAGTGAAAGTATGAAGTGCCAGAGGAATGACTAAAATTTAAATACTGTATATGCATGGAATTAATAAATTTAAAAACTCTTTTTATCATGATACCCAGCAGTCTCTCATGAGAGTTATCTTGCTCTTTGTTATAGTAGTCCAGCGAGTGACGGATCAAGGTCAGGGCATTTTCAGGAGCTTCGCCTGTGTTGGAGTAACCTGCAGGCAGAAGGACAAAGAGAACGAAGGCCTGCCATGTTAACATGTAACTATTGTTATGTTCCCTTTTTGGATATTAAAAGATATTTATTAGGTTACAAAATATTTTTGAGCTGAAGATGTTGATGGGTTTTGAGTATAGCCATGTGTGAGACAAACCATCTGTTACTATGATGATGATGTTCTGAGTCTCATTAAAATGGTACTTGACCCTGTTTTGTTTAAAGAAACTGATCATCTCATTGACACGCTGCAGCGCAACAAACATGTTGGTGCCTGTCTTCTTCCCGTGACCTGCAGATGAACAAATGCAAAAGGATGGCTGATAAATAATTGACTTCAGTATTGAATACGCTGTTGCGTCCTTGTTTTTTTGTTTAGGCCATTAAATAAATGAAGAATAATAAGCAGAGTCCTACTGCTATATTTGAACTGCATCAGAGCGTCTATGATGTCATCGGTGCTATGACTATCCAAGTCTGTGATCTTCACAATGTCTATAGCCGTACTGGCAAATGACACCACATGGAACTTGAGCTGTACCTCGTAGCTATCCAGCTGGATGGAAAATAAAGAAGACATGTACTGAGAGAGGATGACAGACAAACTAGTAGACTAATGTGAATAATTCTTCGTCTTTCACCTGTTGATTCAAATCAAACTGAGCTGCTTTGGTACAGACCTTTCTGATAAGAGCGATGGTGGCGTTCCGGGACATTTCAAAGTTGTGTTTTTTGATGCTTCCCGATGTGTCCAGTAAAATGTAGACGTTCATACGACTGTCCTTATCTACACGGATGGTTCGGCCAAGGGACATGCTTTCATCTTATGAACACACAGAAAAATTTTCTTTTAAACTGCAGATGGCTTCAATTGCTTGTACTGAGTATTTGTGTAACCAGTTAGTTATGTGTACATGCACTTAAAATGTCTTGTTGGCTGTGCAGCAACACTGTTCACATGTCACACTGTTCAAGAGCATAGTGATACCCACTTTTCTTTTTAGAGTCTGATGAGAATACATCCATAACTCCTGCAAGTGACCCTGCCATAGCTTCTGCCACAGCACTGGGGGAGTCAAAGGTATTTGGACCTGTGGTAAAGTATTTTATCATAACATAATAATACACACTGTACAGTTTTTATCATTGCTTAAGTGTGTAGTTGGCAATAATACTAGTGGAAATGTATCAAGGTTTAGTTGTTCATATCATCTGTTGTTTTTGAAGGAAAAGCACATAAATCTAAAACACCTTGGCAGCGTGGAGTTGAGCCACTCCACTCCCTGTTTTCCAGGCAAACCCTTTCAGCTGACCCAAGTAGATCCAGACCCGACTGACACCTGTAGGTCACTTTCTCTCCTTCGTAAAACCGGCCTGCTAACCTTTGGGCGCCAGGTGGGATCCCTGGGTCATCACACTCATCAGCTGCATGTAAAGACAGAGTAGGAACAGTAGATGGAGTATAAAATGATAATTTTTTAAGGTAATAATTATTTTTTTCAAATGATATTTGTATTTGTGTTCATATAGAAATGTTCAAAATGGAAGTATAAAACAGGATGATTATTAGTACCTGTCCTTTTAGGACATCAAAATCATGTTGTGAGCACATGTTTTAAAATAGTGGCTCATAAAGTTTATTACAGAGGAAATGCAAATGTTGGTCAGTGAGCTCACAGGAAAGTACTGTTTAATATTAAAATCTACTTATAGCCATTTCTGTAGTTGCTTTCTAATGGGTCACAAACCATGTGAGTTTCATCAGTGCATGTTCACTATAAGCTCTAATACACCTGATGAACTGGGCTCAGGGTCTCATATAAGTGGATGGTCTTTATATTATATTGTGCGTAATTCAATCACAAACATGAACATAGTTTGCAGTGTTGTCCTTTCTCACCATGGTTATCACAAATAGGTGTGGTTCCTGTCCACTCCCCAGAGAGGGTGCAGTTTCTCTGGGCTGACCCATACAAGGTGAACCCATCCTGGCAGGAGAAGCTTTGTGTCATCCCAACACGGAGCCAGTGATCCCTGGGCCAGAAGTCGCCATGATCCAGCTGAAGCTGGGCTGGACACATCACATCTGGGAGCCAGAGAGAGGTGGATGGATAGAAAAGAGGATGGAGAAGAGGAAAGGTGAAAACAGGGGGAGAACATCACTCAGATTATGAACACGAATGTCATGTCATTTTTTTTGTACATATGACAGTGAATGCATCATCGTCTACAGCTGTACCTTTGCATGTGGCCTGTGACACTGGTCTGCCACTGGTTAATCTCATGGGCGACCAGTCTCCATCAGCACCACAGGTCCTGTAGCTGACGGGGAACGGATATCGCCCCGCGCCACAGTGATAGGTCAGCACACTGCCCTCCAGTCCTCCCTGTGGAGGAAACACATGGTAACTTTTAGAGTTAAATTAAGGAACATGAGGCTTCTTCCAGTAAAGAGAAGCTTACATTCATTCTGTTTCTATTCTGTTTCCCTTTTGTAACACTCCTGATTCGGATTTCTGATTTTTTTTACCTAAATATTTCACCATTGTTTCTAACATGTCACAATCTTTTCATTTTTCATAATCTTTTAATTCATGCAAAATTCTTTTCCATATATTCCACAGACTTTGTATTTCACTTCACTTCTTTTAACATGTTTTATCACAGTATTTCTATTTTCCTTCAATGTCCTTCTTTTTACCCCAGAACTCATTTGTTCAGCTCTTTAAACCTTTGTTTTACTGTGTTTTGCCTCAACTATTGTTTCCACTATAGATTTATCTATACATTATTTTCCTGATAAGTAGATTTGTGTTTTGTCTATTAAGCATCAGTTTTACAAATGCCCATTCCAAAATTACAGAGTTCAAGATGTTTTTGAAGCAGAAAATCTTCACTTAGTCGGCTCCGATGCCAGAAAATGCTTGGTGTTTTTCTAAAAACAGTTAATCATCAAAATTAAATTCTTTGTTGACTGGTCTAACCACCTAATCAGCTAATAATTTCAGCTCTAATGTCAGTGCATCATTTTTACCTGTGAGTAGGTGACTTGTCCACCTTTGATGCTTTCTGTGGTTGAACAGTTCAGAGGCTGTATATCTTCATATTCATATTCATACTCTGCCTCCTGCAGGGATTCTGGAGTACACATGATGAAAATGTTGGTGATAAGCATGACCCTCTGCACATACACACGCTGTGTTTTCATTCCTTGTGGGGACTTTACATTGACCCTAACCCTTACATTCATTTCCTGTAGACTTATCTTAAGCTTGACCACAACCACTACTTGCCTAACCCTAACCCTGACCCTAAAACTTAACCTAACCTCATCCTAACCCTAAACCCTGTTGCCACCCTAAAATTCAGTAATTTAAACAGGAAATGCACTTACCACTGAAACACTCACCCTCCAGGACAGAGATGAAGATCAGGATCCACAGTATGGACTTGACATACATGACCAGGCTCCGTTAACTGCTTTGTCTCTTTGAGTGACAGAAACCACAGTAAAAGTGCCTGTATCGACCTAGATCCAACTGCTTTATTTGATGACTGATTACTTATTAACACAGCAAGAGTAAACAGAGAATGAGGGATTGAGCAATTTATGACAGATCTGAGCTCTTACTTTCATTTCCGGTTGCACTATTTTTATCTTTTTCTCTTGCTGTAGAATACTCTGAAGTCTAAGATAATGATAATCACCTTTATTTGCCCAAGTACGTTACACACAAGGAATTTGTTTCCAGTACAGAACCAAGGCAGCCATCTGCAGTGCCAACTCACACTGATGGCTCTAACTAGCAGGGGCAACTTGGGGGTTCGGTGTCTTGCCCAAGGACACTTCGACATGTAGACTGCAGGCACCGAGATTCGAAGCTCCGACACTTCGGTTGGGAGATGACTGCTCTGCCCACTGAACCACAGTCGCCCCCTAGTTTTTGCTTTGTGACATTTTAATGTTACTTACTCTTTTAAAAGTGAAACTTTTAAATAAAATCACTCAACTGTGATGTCAGCTTTGGGTAAATAATGCTATTTCAAACTTCACAATCTCTAAACCTGTCTTGCTGTTATCCAGTATTCCCAGACCAAACCTCACCTCAACACTGTTGTGTTACTCAGCCTTATTATAGAATGACTCAGATTGTACCATTTCTGTGTTTGTATTTTTGGTTTGGGCATGCACACATGCATGTTAATGCAGTTTCAGGAGCTTAAAAGATTATTATGTCCTCCACCTCCACTCTCACCCCTTTTCCCATTCCCTGCCCTCTCCTTCGTACTCTGTCTTGGGGCTCTCAGCTGACTCGGCTTTGTTCAACACTGTGAAGGAGCATTTCAAATTGTTTTGTAACCACTCACCGCTGAAAAGTACAGCTTAATACTGCTCATGTTAGACTCAACAAAATGAAGGAAAACAGTAGCGAACATTGATATCTTGTTCGCTGGAGTTTGAAATTTCTTTTTGGTGAATTATGTGAATTTTTCTTTTTCATTTTTATCTGGATTATGTTGATGGATGTCTAAAAATGGGTTCTGCTTTGGTGAAGGTTTGAAGGCCAGACGTTTCCTGCACTACAGTGGAAACTAGGAGCAGAAAGTGAACACTGTTAAGAAACCCCAGGAGGACATCTTAAACACCTTCTCACTGAGAAACAGCTCTCTTACAACGTCATCCCAGATGCAATTATCAAAACATCAGGCTCTTGGAGAAGAGGAGCACTGAGAAGATTTCACTGAGAAAGGGGACAGCAAATAAAGATGTGTGACCTCAGCCAAGTCACTGTTTACTCAGACTCCTCAGATATTTATAAGGTGAGTAAGGTTGATAAGATGAGTAATGCCAATGAATGATGGTGTGGAAATTTGAATTAGACTCTATTTAGAGTCCATTGGTAAGAAAAATACATTGATATTTTGAACAAAGACATGGTTTTAATGACAACTGACATGTAGCTGAAGGTTCAGTTGACTGGGCGTAGTGACCACAACAGAGTGCAATAAAGACTAGCAAACAAAAAGATATAAGAACAATTACTAAACAGTAAAAACTAGGTGCAGTGTAAAGTGACAAGTGTATTTAACTTGATCTTATTATGCTGATAAAATAATATTGCTGCAAGAATTGTCTTTGCAACAGATGCCTTTCAGCTAAACTGTTCCCCATCTGTCTTTACAGCCTAGGGCATAGTCATTTACAGCTGAACTATCAGTAGTTCCTGATGGGTGTGTGTATGTGGGAGTGGAGTGGGGTTTGTTCATTGGAATTCGTGTTTGTTTGCAGTTCTAATGGCCCAGGGGAAGAAGCTGTTTGTGAGTCTGGTGGTATGTGATTTGATTGATCTGTAGCGCCACCCAGAGGGTAAGAGATCAAACAGGTGATTGGCTGGATGTGAGGAGTTTGTAGTTATGGTTTTTAACCTATTTAGGCTATTTAATTTTGGGTGTAGGGTGGTAGGAGGCCCCCTAGTGGGTTAATCCAAACAAATTCACAGTTATTGTCTTGCAAAGCACAAGCAGCAATTGCACAATGAAAGGACTTTTTTCTACATTTCCCAAGATTTTCTTCAGTCATTATAATCAATGGGTAAGTCCCAGTTCCCTTAATTGCATATTTTGTTTTTAGTCCCATTTATATCAGATGCAAGGACGAGATCCAAAAACAAAACGAGTCCAGGAAAGACTCTTTTGTGACACTCATGGCTCCTCCAGGCAGCGTCCTCGCTCCTCGAGGCTCCCTCCTCTGAGAAGAAATACGAGCGCTGGAACCTTCTTTAAGATAGTGGACTGGAACAATTTCTAGGCCAAGTGAGGACTGAGGAGCGAGGAATGATCAAATAAGGGAACCGAAATGTACCTACTGTGTTTGCATCTTTAACTAACCTCATTGACAGCAAGTAGAATGGGGCCATGAACAGAAAATAAAGTTAAAAACTGTGATGTCTTTTGGAATTTTGTTATTATTAGCAACCTCAAGCTACTGGTAGCTACTGGCAGCACACTTTCCTTCCTCAGAACTTTTGGACACACAGTGAAATATTTTGTGTCTGGCTTTAGGATTGTTTTTAGATGATAGTTCTCATTTTCTCTTTTCTTTGTTCTGCTTTTCACAGAATGTATTCTGCAACCCTGCCTTTGAGCTGGAAGGGGAGCGAGAGGAGAGGGTGGAGGGATCCAGGACATCTTCATCCACCCCTGAACTACTCAAACCGCCAGCCACTAGTAAGTCAACGAGAGAGATTCTGTTGATGCAGACCTTGAAAGATGTGGGGTTTTGTCAGGCAGGCAAGGTTAAATGAAAGACGCCACAGTGCTGTAAATTTGTGGAAGTAAACATTTTAGTAAATTAAAATAAAATCATGATCAAGTGAAATAATAAAATGACTGCAGTTTGTTTTGGATGCACAACCAAGCAAAGTCCTGCAGTTTTATCTTTCATTTTGATTCACTGTAAAATGTGTGAGAAGAGCAACTGCTGGCATGGTTGCAAGCTTTCTCTAAGCTTTGGAAAATTCATTTTAAGTCTATAGTCTAATGCAATTTTAGTACCAATTTGGTATAAAATGAATGCGGTGAAAAGAGAATAATACATAAATAGCATGCAAAAGATTCAAATTGACCAGAGATATAAATTTTTGGTAGCAACACAGGTCTTCTCTGTCCTGTCACACACCCATGTGCTTATGTGTGCTCTGTCATACAGACCTAGGTTGTGGTCTTTTTGGAGAGTGTGTGGTGCATCTGCGGGGCCCAGGTTGGGGCTGGGGGGTGGTGGTCTCTGCTGCTGCCCTGCTCGTGCTCCTCCTCTTTGGACTGGCACTGGCCCGCATCCTGACACGTGAGAACTTTACAGCACACTCGATAAATTTCAAGGTTTTTCCTTCTGAGGTTGCCGTTACAAATTAGTGTTGGTTATCATTTTCCTGTCTGCGCTGGATTACATCTTAGAAATTCTTCCATTTGTCATACAAAGGTTTGAAGATAGCTGACAAGCATTATTTCACACATATCCTGTTATATTTCAGTCCTGTGTTGTTGTTATGTGTCACTACTATAGAGGTAAAAAGCCAGACAGTAGAGGATCAGTTGCTGTCCACCAGCCCTCCAGACCGACTGAGTGCAGCACATGGAGAGTCCCATACGTTACCCACAGTCCCTTCCAACAGAAGCCAGCAGGACAGTACAGCCACACCACAGTCCATGAGGACCCCCTCATCTGAAACACGTAGAAGCTTTTGTCTATCTTCACTCAGTACAAAAGTGAATGTTTCTTCATCTTGGGGTCACTTTGAGACAAGTTATTGTCTCTCTCAGGTTGTGGAGGTGTTTTGAGAGACTCAGAGGGTAGTTTCAGTTCACCGAACCATCCCGGCTCCTATCCCCCCAACTCCCTGTGTGTATGGGTGATCCGGGTCCCACCCCCCTCCATGGTCCAGATCCATGTGTCCTCTCTGACCGTAGAGGGGCTCTCTCCTTGTCTGTTTGACTGGCTGGAGGTGCGAGAGCAGGTCGAACAGGGCTTTGTGGTCACCAGGTTGGTCTGATCCCAGTGATTTCCATGAATCAAACATTTGCAGGGCCTGTGAGTTTCCACTCATCAAACAACTGGAACCCCATATTTGTGGTTGCTTGTAAATTTTGCTCTCACTGTCACAAAAACTCCTATAATGTAAATGTAATATCTCATCCCAGTAGTATAAGTGTGTGAAGGTCTATACTATTATACACATTTGAGTGTAGAAAATGGCAAAGTTTAATTCAAATGTGGGCTGTATGTATCAGCAAATTTTAGAAACCTAAGTGAAACTAATATATCTAAGCATCTTTTTATATGTTCTCCATAAAGAAACATAAATAGTGTTCATGCCATTACTTTAAATTGTTGATAGATGGCACCAAAAGTCTGTGTGTGATTGAAGAGTTCTCCTCGGTACTGAAAGCTTCGTGGAAAGAGTTTAGTGCATGTGAATCCTTTGGCCTTTTTGCTTACTTGCATTCTTGGAAAGAGTCATAACAAAATTCATGAAATTCTAAAAATAGTATGTAACTCTAGCTTGCAGTTTCTTTTAAAAATTGACAGTGCAAAGTTCAGACTCAAGTAGAAACTCCAAAGCTGTAATATGGAGGGAAAAAAGAGATTATTCTAAAATAAAAATTCTATATTTCTCTCCTGTAGGTTCTGCGGTAACGTAGCGCCACCAACAGTCAACACAAACAGCAGCACAGTGTGGGTCACCTTCCGCTCTGATGGAAGCATTACAGGCAGCGGTTTCACTGCTCAGTACAGGGCCATACCACCTGGACACAGTCCGTAGTCTGCAGCTAAAAGTTCATATGTGCTGTTGTTCATCTGAATCTACTATATGTGCATTTGTGTATAAATCCACGGTGTGTTTTCTCAGAGAGCTGCTCCAGAGAAGAGTTCATGTGTGACAGTGGTCAGTGTCTGCTGCCTGTGTCTGTGTGCGATGGTCATCCAAACTGCCGTGACCAAACAGATGAGGCAAACTGCAGCCATAAACACAAAGGTGAGAGTATACAACATATAATAAAAACAAAAGTTAAAAACACTTGAATAGGCTCTGTGGATATTGTTACTACTTCTACAGAATGCGGTGGGCAGAAGACTGAACCTTACGGTTTCCTGTCAAGCCCAAACCACCCCAGGCCTTACCCTCACCAGCTGGTACAGTATAGTCAAAACGTCTCTGTGCTGCTAAACACTCTAAACTGGTTATTTTATGGCCTAACCCTATGTTCTTCCATTTTCCATCAGTTGTGTATATGGTATATATCTGTTGAGGAGGGTCATGTTATCACACTGAGCTTCAGGAACTTCAGCCTGGAGACTCAGGATGTGTGTGAGTTTGACTATGTGGAAGTTCACGACAGCAGCGGCACTGCCACCGGAGGAACTATGGGAAGGTGAGAGCACAGCCTTCATACTGTATTCAGTGCACTTCACATATATTATATTTTTTTATGGATGCTACCATGCTATGATATCTTCAGCCATTTGTACATTTACTGTAACTTCACTGATTATTTCCTTGTTGTGTAAAAGGGTGAACTAATGTGTGTCTTTTTTGTGTGTGAGTTGACCACAGTGTTCTGGAGCAGCTTTTGTCTCCTGCGCCTTTGTCTCAGGTTCTGTGGTACAACATTCCCACCAGACCTGACCTCCTCTGGCCCCCACATGACTGTGGTGTTTGTGGCTGATGAGGGAGTGGCCGACAGCGGCTTCAACGCCACGTACCAGGCTGTATCTGTACTGGACAGTGAGTTCTCACTTTTATAATAATAATTCGTGTTTAACCAAAGTGTTTGAAGTGTTGCTGGTGCCCTTATTATTTCCCTCACCTCGGATCTTTCTTTTTTTCCATATCTTCTCCTATGTTTGTTTCCTTCTCAGCTTCCTTTGTCTTCTCCTCTCCTCTATTGCAAATGCTTTTTCTTCCTCTTTTCTTCAGATCGAAACCACTTCTTAACCATATTTCACTTAATCTCCAATGCTTATTTTTCTATTTAACTTACATGTATTCTTTAAAATTTTCCATGACCCTCTCCCCTGTACTTTATTTTCAAAAGGGACATGTGGTCCCAGCCAGTTTGCCTGCAGTACAGGGCAATGTCTTCAGCCGCAGTGGTTGTGTGATGGATGGAATGACTGCCCCGATGGAGCAGATGAACAAAGCTGCAGCAACTCCACCTACCCGCCATTTAGTGAGTCCATGTTATCGCTGACACCAATCAGTCCTGCCACAACAGAGTCACAGATACAGTAGTTTTTGTTTCCAGAGCCAGAAACTTGCATGATAAAAGTGACTTTTTGCCAGCAAGCATAAGGCATGTTGGCTATAAAGTATATCATTTTCTTTGTGTTTTAGAGGCAGGAACTTCTGGGTCTCTGAATGCCAAATATTGGACTACATAAATGTAATCATTTCTTTTCCCCATGCCCTCAGGTTCATCGTGTGAGTTCATAGAAGTAGAGATGTGTCAAGGCCTCAGCTATAATTTCACCTCATTTCCAAACATCTGGCTGTCCATTACTGATCAGAGAGAAGCTGCCACACTACTGCGACAGTACCGGGTAAAATTACATACCTTTATTTTCTTAATGCCTCTGTATATTCTTCATAAACCAAGCACCTTAACTACATAAACTGAGCTGTACAGCCACACATACACCTTTTCCACTGTTTTCTCCTCCAGGTGCTGATGGAGCTGGCCTGCTTTGAACCCCTGCGGAGACTGGTGTGTGGGATGTTTCTGCCCCAGTGCAGCGCTCAGGGTGGTGTCTTGCAGCCCTGCCGCTCAGTCTGCTCCTCAGCCCAACAGCAATGCAGCCAAGCCCTGGATCTCTTCTCCTTCAGTTGGCCCTTCAACTGCCACCTTCTGCCTGACTCACAGGACCCCATGGAGTGTTCACTGCCTTGATGCTGCAAATTATTGTGTAGTAAGAGAGATGATCCCCTCCAATTCACAGAACATGTCACACCAGATTCACTGTGCTGTTTGATGACAAAAGCCTGCATTTTACAGAACTGGAGAATAACATTCTGGCCTCAGATTAGTTTGACTTGCAGCAAAACTGCAACCCTTATTGCACCCTCCTGTCTATAAAGCCTGCAGAAGACTGTGGCACAGTAGCTATTTTGATAGAAAAGCTTTAAAGTACCAAGTAGTTTTCAGCCTCTGTGATTCAAATATCAACTGCGCTAGTTAAAAGGTTCTGATCTCACTGACCAGTAGAAACCAAACTTGTAAATTTTCACCATTTATTGTTTTGATGTCAATATGTCACAGTAAAAATAAATAATGAACAATACAGAGAGAATACCTCTAAAACAAACTTTATTGCATTGTTCCTCAACACACCATGATGTGCTTCTAATATTTCAGTGCTTACAACAGGCCATATCTGATCTGGTGTGAGGTAAAGCAGGACACAGACATCAGTTGAATAACACTTGATATCTTGAACCCTACAGTTACAGCAGTGCTTCGCTGAGCCAATATAATAAAATGTAACAAACAAGCCTCATTTGAAAGTCATGGTTATCACAGTGACATATGATTTAACTTGTTAAAATAAACATAATTGACAACTGTTGGTGTAGAAGAGCCAAAGTTGAATTAAATAAAGATTTGTAAGCATTTAAGTCCATAATATGTAGATATATAAATATACTGATAAATGTTCAGGACGGAATAAAGTATTGGCCCTGCCTGTTGATGTTACTCCATATCTGTCCTACAAATTAGTGACCAAAACAATCCAATCTCTGAGTCACATGGTGTTCTTTTGTACTGTAAACAGTAAAATCACTGTCATTGAGCTGCTAAGGCAGGACAATGAGTTTCAGGGTATGATCCAAAACAACAGCGGTCAGGCCCCACACTCGATGCTTCCCATTACGAAACACTGGAAGTGTGTATCCATACTTGTCACCGGTGCGAAAGTGTGTGTAGCCACGGTTCTGGGGACTGCACAAGTGGGACAAAGTCAAAGTGAAGATCTCTTCCACCTAGAATGGAAACGGACAAAAAAAAAAGCACAGGTTACAATTTTGCTTCTAAACAGAAACAAACCTGAAAAGAGATGTGGTTTGCCTAGTTACTATACAGTATGTGTACTTTTACACTGCTAGTTTAAAAAGTCAGAAGAGATGTACGCTGAACTGAACCCTGAGTATTTGTGTAGATGATAAGAAACCAGGCCACTCCAGGAGATCATATGTCAAAATACCAAAAGTACAATGATTCATTTACCTCTAGTGACTGTGTGAAGACATTTATTTTTAATCTGCATGGTATCCATTATGTGAAAGTATATAAACTGTAAAACACATGACTCAAACTCTAAACCACCATCTCTGATATGTCCCAAGTCTGTCATTTCAAGTGGATATAAAATGTAGTTAAGTGCTAAAAAATAGGAAGACTACCTCTCCAGGGTTTGGTTTGAATGACAACTCCTCTACGGGACCGAGGTTAGCCAGCACAGGAGCAATCAGCATCCCTGACTGGAGAGAGAAAGAGAGATAAAGAACACAGACTCATCAGAATCAGAGTTTGTATTCAGAATAATCAAGGAAGACTGCCAAGTAGACATACATAATGATGGGATGTTTTAATTTCCTTTATATGAAGACAGATTTCGGTACAGTCGTGGACATAAAGACAAGCTTCTGCTGGTCTAATTATGCTGAATTTAAAGCTAGTCCTGGACCAATTTAGACTGATAGGAAAGTAATAGTCAACAATTTTGAGAATGAAATGTGCTCAAGTGATTCCTAAATTAAGGTGTTTCAGTATTTTCTGGATTTGATGATAAATTACCAAAGGATTAATTGACTAATCAGAAAATAACTGATAGATTACTTGGAAAAATAAATTAATCAAATAATTGAAAAAAAAAAATTTAAACTAACTGATTAAAAACATATCATTAGTTGCAGCCTTTGTACCACTCACTCTGTCCCTGAGAGGCTTCAGGACACCCCAGACCCTCTCTGCTGTCACATTAATACCCAGCTCCTCCCTGGCTTCCCTCAGTGCCGTGGCCACAACACCCCTGTCTGATGGATCACTCTTCCCTCCTGCAAAGCTACACATAAAGGAAAATAAGGGCATATATTCTGCTTGTTTGTTTTCTAACACAGTTCAGGATGCCACTAACCTGACATCCCCCTTGTGCCTGCCCTTCAATGTGCTGGAGCGCAGTGTGAAGAGAAACGATGGCTCCCCCCCAACAGAGCAGAGAGAGACCAAGACAGATGCCCATGTCTCCCGGTTCTTTCCTTGGCTCTGACTTGTGTCTTGTTTCCCCTTTTCCATCTCATAGAACTTCAAGTTGAGCCCCAGGCTCTGTCGACACCTGTTTTCATTCTCTAGGGATAGACAGTTTCTCCAAGCGTCTACCACATAAGAGGCAACCTGATGAATAGCTTTGGTGTGCTGAAAAAAGAAGCTGGGGGTTTGTGGTCCACTGTGATAATGGTTTAAAATCCGTGGCATATGTGTTGATGAGCTGAAAGTTCTGACAGAGTGCTGCCTGTAATATGAATGGCTTTGAAAAAGGCTGCATTGATTCTTACTGGGTAAACTGAGTGAAGGTGGGCAGAGGTCCCAAGACCTTCTCCAGGGTTGAAGGCATGTTGTGTTCATTAAACAATCACAGTAAGTGCTCACAGCTTTGGGGTTTTGAACCAAATCTTCCACTTTAGTGCATTTCCAAGGATAAGATGCTTGTTTAGCTTTTTCAGAGGCAAAAATCTGAGGGGACTGATGATGGCTAGATGAAATGGCTTTAGATAGGAGGTTTTGAAATAAAGAACCTGTCAGCTTTTGATAATCACAGTCCAATCTAAGGAAACACAGCTGTGTTGAACAGGATACAGTCTCTGTGGACAGCGAGGACTTCTCTTTGCTTCTGCTCTTTCCAGGAATGCTTTTCCTTTCCTTCACATGTTTCGTGCCCTGCCATATGGCTCCAGCGTGCTCAGAGAAAGCAGAAAGGTGGAAATCTCTCAATAGCAGCAATGACCTTAAGGAACTAGAACAATTCAGGATCTGAGGGCCCCTAAACATCCTGTAAAAAGAAACACACAAGACACCAGTTAATTGAGATTAAATGTGCTCATCAGTTAATTAGACCAGGATGTGAAGATCAGTCTATTTCACAGCTCAGGTAAAAGGTTAAATGCCACTTTCTGTACACACGGAACAAGAGGAGTGATGCCTGATGGAGGCATGAGCTGGTGAGTGGACAGGGACTGTCATTTAAAACCCCGGCCGATCTAGGCTCAGGGACTTACCCGAACTTAACATTACAACTTCAATATTACGTTCGACTGTTACGGATTCAGACAACTTATTTTCTGTTAGTTAAAGTTCTCCCGTTAACTTAGCTAAAGCCTATTAATCAGTCACATCGCTGTCAAACTTATGAGAATTAACTAACGCTAGTTCGCTGAGGTACCAGTTGTTGGTTAGCTGGGTTTTGTTAGCGAAGTTGACTATAAAAATCATATCAAGTATGACATTTACTGCTTCTCCTTCACTAAATAAAGCTATCATAATCTGGCAGAGTATCAGTCAAGATCTCCTTTGGCTTGGAAATTAGTTGTCAAAGTGTATAACGTTAGCCAAATAAAAAAAATCGCCCTAAGCTAGCATCACAATAGCAAAACAGAAAGCTAACTAACGCTCATAATGTCATTCGTATACCGACTTTAAAAATTACATGTAATCACTGGCAGGGGTTCAACATATCCCACACGAAGTCATAAATACGCCAATGAACGAACTTTTAAAGTAAAACGTAACTAGAAGGCTGAAAACACTCACCTTGAAAGTTTGAATCAGCTGATCTCTCCCCCAGGTAGCCGGCTACAACCAATATGGCGGCGAGTAGCGTCATGCGAGTCAGTGTTGCGCTCACTGCGCAGTGATGACGCCGGGTGGGGGTTAGGCGGAACATTTACATTGTTTACTAATGACTTCATTGAGAAAACTACCCATTGTTTGGAATTCACACCACTAGTCAGGTCTTCGGAGGTAAAAATCCAGTCTGTCCTCTTTTGCCTGTTTCTTTAACTAGGCAGACTAATACAAGTGTTCATTACAGTTGAAATGGTAAAGATCCTACCATAAGGATCTGGATCCAGTTCTGAACATTATATGATTCTATTGTTAGTTATTTCATTTTTACAGTAATATAAAGTTTCATTAGTTCATGATTCCCATTTCTAATCTGATAAGCTGGGAAGCACCTATGACATAAGAGAGAGAAACTCCTCACCCCACCTGTTTTACCGGCCCTTCCTTGAGACCAGGATTGCCTCTGTTTTTAAGCAGTACTGATTCATGTGGACTGGCATTTCAAACTTGCTATCACTGTGTGTGTTTCCTACTTCTGTTGCCTATGTGAGTTGAGGCTATCTTTGTATATCCAGATCTGACCTCTGGGAAAACAAAGTCACCTTCCATCCTTTAACCCAGCACCATATGGCCTCAGCCTGGACTGAAGAGGAGACCTTTGTCTGCTCAGTATGCCTGGACACTCTGAAGGACCCGGCTACTCTACCTTGTGGACATTCATACTGTTTGGCTTGCATCCAGAGTCACTGGGACAAGAAAGACAGGAAGGGCCATTACAGCTGCCCTCAGTGCAGGCAGGTCTTCAACCCTAGGCCCTCGCTGGCCAAGAGCACCCTCCTCGTGGAGGCTATGGAGAAACTAAGAACCAACAGCCTCAAGCAAAGCTCCTCCTCGGCCTCACCATCAACGTCTATGTATTTGGAGGTCTTACCAGGCGCTGGGCCACAGCAGGGTAGCTTGTACCCTCAGCTTCCCACAGTGAACCCAAGAAACTGCTCTCAACACAACAAACCTCTGAACCTGTTTTGCCACGAAGACAAGGAATGTGTGTGTGAGGTGTGTTGCCAGCAAGGGCACAAGGGACATCGTGTGATCAAACCAGAGGAAGAGAGAAAGGAGAGACAGGTATGTATTAAACAAAAAAAAGCTCACCAGGATAATATTGCCATGCTTTTTGTAGTGATTCTTTCTCTCATGTTGGTTGTAGCATGTAAGAACTGTGTTGTTACAATTGTAGCTTTTCTAAAATGCAACTTAACTGAACTGAATTAATAATCTAGGGCTGTTGCTGCCCACAGTGTGTGGCTTCTTTTTTTTTTTCTATACTAAGTTATGGATGTTGTGTGTGCAGACGGAGCTGGTTCAGATGCAGGCAGAGGTACAGAAGAGAATCCAGGAGGCAGAAAAAAATCTTAAGACTCTTCCGCATGCTGCTCGCCAACACAAGGTAAGTAAATGCTAAGTCTACATTCTTTGCACTTTTTTTTTTTTTTTTTTTTTATTTACTTTCTTGATCCTTGTCTTCCTCTCTACTACACACCCAGGCTTTGGTCCAGGCTCTAGAGCATGAGAGCACAGGTTTATTCTCTGAGTTAGTCAAGACCGTGAATTTGACAGGCATTCAGGTTGGTGAGATCCTCAGCACCCATGAGACCTCCCTAGGCAGCAGGGTTGAAGGGCAAATTCACAGACTGGAGCAGGAAGTAGTGCAGCTTCGATGGAAGAGTGAAGAGCTGAGCAGGCTGTCTGACATGCAGGACCACATCTGTTTCTTGAAGGTAAAGAGTGTGAAGCAAGGTGTTGGTGGACATGAATTCATTTCACTGGATAAGTAAAATGTTCACCATCAGTAAAATCAGAACTGCTGTTGTTATTTGGATAACATTGTGTCATTTGTTCTCAAGAATTTCCTGACCATGGAGCCGCTGGGTCAGACAGGTGCCATAGAAGAATCAGTGCTAAGTCAAGAGGAAGCAGTGGCAGCCTCCATCCGCTCAGCGATGAAAGAACTACAAGAGTCAATACAGGACCTCTGCAAAGCCAGCCTGACCAAGATCAGCACACTAGGTCAGTCAGTCTTCTCTTCTCTTTACTTGGGGTTTAGGTCACTGCACAAAATGTAGGTACAGTAACTTAAAATCACCCATAGTTTTGACTATTTGTCCAAGAAAATGCTTTCAGATTTTTCTCACAACTTATCCATTTCTGTAGCGCATGAAATGACAACAGATCCTTTGCAACCTCTAGGTAAGCTACTTTACAAACTTAATATATAGTGCAATCTGTCTGTGGTTTATTGACATGCAGACATTTAAATGTGGCACTTAGACACTGGTTTACTTGTCCCCTTTGAATCTCTCCTCATCTCTTTGGAAATAAAGCTTCAGCCCCCCCTCCATCTGCTCCTTCTTTTCAACCCCAAGGTAAAAACAAAAGCATTACAAACTGCCTGTACATATCAAACATCTACTTTCCCTTGGCGAGACCATGGCGTAGATGAGTTTTAATCCCTGATTTTATATACTTAGCATCTCCTGTATCAACGGTGGGGTTTGTGAATTTACAACCAAATTCAAGAGAGGAATTGCTGAAATGTGAGTCCATCATTCTTCACAGAATATAGAACATGGTGTCAGGGGGTTCAGAGTCTTCACTAAAATGAATCCTCTACATCTAGTTCGCTTTGAACCCACCATGGACCCCAACACAGTGTATCGGCATGTGCAGCTTTCAGATGGAGGTCATATGGCCGTGCTAAAGGCTGAGAACCTGCACCCACCAGACCATCCTGAACGCTTCCACTTCTGGAGACAGGTTCTCTGCAGAGAGCCCCTGGCAGGGAGCCCCTACTACTGGGAGGTGGAGTGGACTGGCCAGAAGGTGAATCTTTAGATATTAATGGGGAAATTGGTGCTGTCCGTTAGGCATGCAATGCATTAATGATTTTCATTTTGCATGAAGTCTTACAAACACTAAACCAGATTGCATCTAAGATCTGTGGATTCAAGGTCAGACTTGAGTATCCTGTCCAGCATTTTCCAGTCACAGAATAAGCATCTAAAGACAGCTGGGATCAGACAGTGTTATATTTACAATCCCTGTGTTTGACTACGCACCTTATTCCTTCTAACCAAATCATTTTAACGTTAGTGTTTGTGCTGCAAGTGGTAAAATCCCATCTTTATTATGTTGTATGTTTTCTGAATGGACTTTTTGGCAATGGTAAATATAATGGCTGTCAGAAATTCCAATGTAATATCAGTAACACTTGATAAAATTACCTTGAAATTTTGTACTGACCTCCGTTATGGTACTTTTATGTACCAAGGATGAAATGATTAAGTTACCCTGTCACTGCCCCCAGGATGGGCCTAATCCAGTTTTCCCTATCACACCACACAGATCACTATTGGTGTGGCCTACAAGGAGATGGAACGTAAAGGTTCTGATGATAAAAGCCGTTTGGGCTACAACCCCCTGTCCTGGAGCTTGTACTGGTCTGGGACTGGCTTTTCCTTCTTTCACGATGGTCAGGAGAAACTGCTAGGTTCTCCTAAGGCTAGACGTATCGGCATCTATTTGGACCAACATGCAGGGATTCTGGCCTTCTACCGCATCACCAAGAACGAGGCAGGCCTCATCCATCAGCACCAGACCCAGTTCACTGGCCCACTGTGCCCAGGGTTCAGGTTTGGGGCAGGAGTAGGGGCCACGGTGACTGTGTGCCAACTGGATTAAGTTGTATGCAACTGATGGCTGTCATTTTTAGACATAAAATACAGCTATGATCTTGAGATTCTTCTAGATAAGTAACGCATGTTCAGGGATGTCTGGTTTTGTTAATAGACTATTCTTTACTTTTACTGATACAATGTAAACTTTCTAAATGTTTGCAAGTTAATAAAGTAATAATAAATACATAATTTTTAGAAAGTTTATTTATTTTAAAGTCAATTATAGCACTTAACTTGTAGTTTCATGCTGGTGGTAGTTCCAATAGTCTCAGTACTTATTTATTTTTAGTTTGTGTGTGTGTATAACATACTGTATAGGTTAATAGATATTCTCTGAGTTTGTCTCTTTCTTAGCCACAAATTATGTGTGAACCTGTAATGGAAAGTAATTTGTGTTCAGAGATTTAGATTAGCATCTGAATTAATCTTTTATATTCCAAACATTCATAAGTATAGCCTTGATTTGTGCTTGTCAACTCAAGTAATTCAACATGATTCACAGGAGGACAATGAAACTCAAATTTTACACATGGTGGCAGCAGTTTGTTGTGTCCTGCCCTGACTGAAAGTACTGTAAAATTACAAAAACCTAATGAACACTGGGCTTTGAAAATCAGCTGGTAGAGAAAGCCTCAGTCTAAATTCAATCCACCTATCTCTACTTTTAAGCCTCTTTTACATAGGTTCAGTGAACAAAATTCTACATTCCTTTCACTAATGCTAAGTGACGGATCACTCTAATGTATAATAAGACAGCTCATGCACTCATTAACAGAGAAAAGATGCTCAACTACGTGGACAATTTACCTTATAGAGATTCTAGGTATATTTTACCGTTTTCACAGGAGATAATTTTATGATTCTGGGTTTAGTGCTACATGCCTTTGCTTTTTCAGACCTGGCCATTAGACTTGTCAAAATTTTATGAAAGGAAAAATGTGATGGAAATGTGTGCTTTATCTGTAAAATTACAAGAAATCGATTTTGTGTGGAGCCACCAGCAGCCTGGGCTTTGTGGAGTCCTCATCAGTCGCTAAAGAACAGAAAACAAATTATTAGGCTAGTGCTGTGTGTAATACTCTACACTCTCAGATTATTATTTTTTTATGTTGGCAGTTGGAACAGACACAGTGTATATCTAAAAATGATTTCCACTGACTGTAAAAATTATTCCAGCCATGCAGCTCTACAACCCATAATAATGCTTGGCTGCTGATGAGAAAACTAAACTTAACATTTAGTTTACTTTAACTCAGGCGAAAGATGATACCTGGGAGGCATCAACAACAAAGTCCTGGAGGGTCTGCTCACGTGTGAATTTTAGGAAATGATTATCTCGAGTTATAAGGGCAAATGGGATGGGCAATATATGAAAAACAAGGAGGAGCAATGTTAAAAGAGGAGGAATGAATCCAAGGTTACAAGGGAGGAGCTCTTAAAAACTTATATATTCACAAGTCTCATCTCTTGATCACTCTACGCACCTTCCATTCTTCTGACGCTGTTGTCATTTACCAGCATCAACATGAGAGGTGAGACTAGACACAAACATCAATGACGGTGGAATATTTACTGTAGAAATGAGACGGTTGAAATCTTGAATGCAAGATAAAATGGTTCAAGGCTATTATCATTTTTAAGTTGAGACAAAATTTAAAAAAAACTGTTAGGGGAGAGTAAAGTACATTATAATGCAGAAAATGTAGATTTTGTTTTGTTACTTTTATTGAAAGTTTTACTGCATTTGTCTATACCTTAAAATTATATAAAGAACAAAGTAATTCAGAATCTGATCATTGACTGAAACAAACAAAGCCACCTAGTGCAAAGCTTTTGGGTTTAGTGATATGTCTTTGCTCTTTTTTCCCTCTAGCTATTGTATTTCTGTGTCTGCTGCATGGAGCTTTCAGTGAGAGTATGCTATTTACATGGAATGGACCTACCCACACAACAGTGCCAGCGAAGTCTGATACAAACAGTGGTGAGAGATTATTAATGAAATAGCATATGTCTGTCCTTTCTGCCTTTACAATATATAGTCAGTGTGTCTGCACTGTGACTCATCTGCAGCTTAATGTATTGATGCGGGTGCCCATGTGTGTATGCATAGTGTGTCTGACAGACCAGTCGTCGTGCGGCTGCTGTCTAATTCAAAAACAGATGCAGAGGTTGGAGGAGCACTTCAACAAGACCACTGAAGAACTGAACAAGGAGGTGACAAAATCAAAGACGGCCCTCCAAAATATCACAGGTGAGCGACTCATCTGCTGGGTCACATAAATTAGCTGACAGTGTAAAACATCACCAAAGTATCTTAAAATTGATCCAGTTCTTATACTGCTGACTTGACTATGTCTTCTTTTCTGCATTTCCAGCCAGCCGGAGTGCGTTCTCTGTCGCTTTACGCAATTTGTCAAGTATGAACTGCTATGGCCCATTCAATGAGACCAGCCTCATCATCTACAAACATGTTTTCATCAACCTGGGTGGCAGCTACAATGTGCAGACTGGTATCTTCACTGTTCCCCATGCTGGCGTTTACAGCCTCACCATCACCATCTATGCCATAGTTACTGGTGGTAATACCCTGGCCAGCTGCGCTAACCTGCAGGTTAATGGCCAGGTGGTGGCTGTAGTCACTGAACAAACTGGCAGAGACCTTGAAGATAGTGCCACTGCTGTTGTGGCTTTGCCACTGAAGGCTGGGGATCAGGTCTCTGTCAAGCTGCTCAAAGGATGTTTAATCTGCGATAACAGCAGCCACTACAACACCTTTACTGGCTTCCTGCTGTATGCCACTGACTAAGTTAGCAAAGTGTAGCTACTCATTGCTTTGGCCAACTTGTTCTCTATACTGATAAGGCTTAAGTCTGCTAGGTGAAATCTGTTTCTGGTGGTGAGTTGTAGCCCATAGTCTCTGTCTGATCTTATGTGCTCTCACCCACACAAACATAATACTCTCATCCTTATTCTGTGTCCTTGATTCCATTAGGGTTTGCTATTCTTCTTGAGATCATGTTCCATCAAGATTACCTTTTAAAAGAAGTCAGGTTTTTATCTGATCTGAAATCACCCCATGCACTGTGTGAGCTTGCAAACTTTAAACACACATTTGACATTTTTTCATTTCACACTGTTTATGTATCTTGGTTGTAACTGCTGCTGATGTTTAACTTACTGAAATGATTTGATGTAAACCATGATAAAATATGAATGAATTTACTAAAAAAATAAAGGAGAACTTTGAACACATTGTGGTGTTATGAACTGCTTTTCTATACCCACTAAAGAAACCGAAGATGTCTCCATTAAAGGCACTGCCTGATATTTTTAGGATTAAAGTCTCATGTACACATTATAAAGCATTTTAATGAAAGATCCTGTTTTAATTACATTGTCACTACCTTCCTCATCAACCATAAAGATAAATATAAAATAAAGCCATATGTATCACAACACAGATGGCATATATAATATAAATTAGTTTATGAAATTACACTATGATGACAGTAAGACATAATGTTTATTTAAAAACTATCATCTGACCTGTTTTAAGGGCTCTGTACATAATTGTGAACTCACCATATCTGTAATAAAAGCAGTGAGAAGGACAGTGTGTCAGGGATAAATAAAAGTAGCCTACACATTTCTATCCTTTATAGAGTCATATAGTATATAGTCATATAGTTATTTTATTTAGCCTTTTTCTAACCAGGAAGTATCTTGAGATACAACATCTCGTTTGCGAGGGAGCCCTGGCCATAAAAGAGAGTCACATAACAACATGCACCACACATATCAATCACACAATATACAATAAAGTGTGATCTGTGAAATGTAAGAATAAGACCTACTCTACTCATTAAGAACAGTTAAAATTTTCCTTAAGTATTCATTGAATATGATATTTGAATATCTTTCATGAGGGTAATGTTTTCACTTGTAGATTTGAACAACACCATGCAACTCTTACATCAAATTGGATAGATAATGTATGATGCCTGAGGCAATTAAGCTGTTTTGTGGCTTTCTATGCATCACAACAAACTCATCAGGACACAGTTTAAAAATCATGTCATATAAAATGCAGCTCTTTAAAATGTATCCTTGTTTGTAAATGAAACTATACAGATATCAGGTGACACTTCACCTGCTTCAGCTAAACCCTGGAGGATGTGTGTGTCTGCTTGTGTGTGATTTCAGAAAGTGACAGCATCTGGCGATGACAGGAAAACATACCCAGTTATACACTTACAAAGGAAAGAAAACAGGGAGGCGCAAATAAAACTGAGGTAACAAGGGAGGAGCTCTGAGAAAAATATATATCCATGACACTTCATCTCCTGGTCAGTCTACCACACTTTCCATCCTTCTGAAGCCATCATCATTTAGCATCAGCATGAGAGGTGAGACTAAATACATTTACAGAGGTAGCAATGGTTCATATACAGTATACAACAATACAGTAACAGGCATCTGAGAACTCTTTCTGGTTGCTCTCCCCCCCTCCACAGCTATCGTATTGCTGTGTATGCTGCATGCAGTTTTTGCTCAATTCAGAAATTCTTGGGATGGACCTAACAAGTCTGCACCAGATCCAAACCCCAGTGCAGGCAATGGTGTGGAATTGCAGGTACATAATCAATGTGTCTGCATATAATAATATCTGCAAGTCTAATTAATGTGTATTTGTGTTCAGCTTGTCTCGAGGACCAGGGCTCCTGTGGCTGCTGTTTGATCCTGCAAGAGGTGAACAGGCTGCGGACAAACTTTAACACAACCCTGACAAAGCTGGAGAAGGAATACTCGCTAATAAAACAAAGACTCAACAATACTGAAGGTGAGTCACACATTCATGAGTTACACAAAGCAGGAAAGAATGTAGATGGCAAACACATCTGAAAGAATAAAACACTCTTGCTTACATTATAGAGTTTTTAATGTTAATGAGAAAAGGATGGTCAATGTTTTACAGTTCTAGCCTGTCTTCTATTCTCCTCTCTGCATCTCCAGCCAGCCGCATCGCCTTCTCTGTCACTTTTACTGACACACGTTTCCTGTGCTACGGCCCCTTCCGTGATGACAAGCCCATCATCTACAACAATGTCTTCCTTAACCTGGGTGGTGGCTACAATGTGGGGACTGGAATCTTCACTGTTCCCCGCTCTGGTGTCTACACCATCGCCATCAGCATTTACAGTGACGCTGGTGCTGCTGGCTCCCTCTTGGCCGCTTGTGCTAGTCTGCAGGTTAATGGTCAGCTAGTGGCTGCATCCACAGACAAGAATAGTTATGACCAAGAGGACAGTGCCACTATTGTTGTGGTCCTGCAACTGAGGGCAGAGGACCAGGTGGCTGTCAACCTGCTTAAAGACTGTTTCCTCTGTGATAACAGCCACTATAACACTTTCAGTGCCTTTCTGCTTTATGCTGCTGAATAAGTTAACCCTGTAAAGCCCAACACATCAAAAACTAGAACAGTCAAATTTTTTGGACATGAGATGTTTATTAAACCTTTTAACAAAATCCAAAAGAAAATTCAAGATTCAAGATTTTTATTTGCCATTTATGCATAGACAGACAGTCCAGGCATATAGGAATAAATATGCCATATTATTTAGAATATTTTTATTTTGTTTGCATCACATTTGATAACATGGGGCATTTTTGGCAATTTCTATCTGCTCAGAAGCTCATGTATCCAATTCTTGCTCTCCTATCCAGTTTAGACTCTGATAGATGAAATCTTTCTGTGGTGCCTTGTAGAACCTCATGTCATCTTAGTCCACTCATTTTGAGGGAAGGTTTTAAGGCTCCATCACGTCTTAATTTCAAAGCATTTTTTTCTGTAACAGCTGATCTTTTTCCTATTGAAATGATGTCATTTAACATTTGAGAACATTATGCACCTGTAAAATTACAACGAAATAAATCAGGATTTTAAACAAAAGTATTTGGCATTTCAGTTGATTTTGTGGCATCTACACTGAAAAACGTTGACAAAGATGAAGTGCTGATATATTGCTTTGTTGTCTGTTTTTGATAGAGCGTTAAGATTCTTAAATTAAAGTTAAATAAAGCATTTCATTTACAGTTCTGGCTACCCTGTGTATGAACCTTCCTTTCAGAATATCCAGCTATTTCAACTCCATAATGGATTACAACACAACACACAATGATACATATGCTAACATTCAGTTAGATAGCAATTTTAAGACCTTTTATGCCACGTGCTCACTACATTGACAACATTGTAGACAATATTAAATCTGAGACACCCTGAAAGGCAAAGTATACAACATATTTATATATAACTTTTTCAAATTTTAAACATTTTGGTTACATTTACACATACATTGGATAATCACAGAATTACATATTTTAATCTAAAACTATAAAACTGTTGCCAGTGTGGGCATCAGATCCAAATACTTAACCGGTGTGATGCACTTACGTCTCTAGTGCATCAGTGTGGAACATTGCAGCTAATGGAGGCAATATAATTAATACAGTATATCAGCTTCTAGTGTGCATTCAGTAAGAGTAATACATTGTTAAAAAGGAAACCTCACTGATATTATACATCAGTGATTGTGTATAGATCTTGGTGGAAAAAAAGTATATAGCCTTTTGTGGATCTAGATGTAGCTGCGTGAAGTCTGATAGGCTGCCTCATGTGATGTCACTTAAGTCAACCTCAGCTGAGTCTGAACAGGACAAGTTTGAAAATAAAGAAAAACCGGTGGGTCTGGACTTAGAAAGACATAACTTTACCCAGAACATTGTGCCTTGCTCCTCATCTCTGCTTGAGACTAGAGGCTCAAGGGATTTTTTTAAACAGTCCATTGTGAGTCAAGCAAGTTAAAGGAGTGTAGTGGTGGAGTATTCATAAGGGGAGTGAAATGGTCAGTGGTAGATCCAAAGGCATGGAACAAGATTCTGTGGGAAGTGAAGCCTGTTTCCCTGTAGATGTGTTTCCCCTTACTGTCATCAGAACCTAAACGTCACCATAAGCAGTTCTAATCAATTCAGTGCTCCTGAGCACTGGGGCCAACAGTTACCACAAGTAAATGCATTTGAGAAATATATTTTAAAAATGTAAATAATGTAAATAAAATATAGTTTAAATAATAATCAACAATAAATGAATGTGATACTTTCCTGACTGGCTTCATCACCACTATATCAAACGATCTCAAAATGGCTGCTCTTGTTTCACTGTTATACAGTGATTCAAAGCTCTGGTTTGAAATCACATCCCAGGTCAGGGTACAGTGCATGTTGTGTCACTTTTATCCCATGTTGTGAAGTGAATCATCTTGATGACTGGTCTCATTTGAAGAGATGTGTTCAAAGCATGCATAAAACACTTGATACACCATGGCCCCTGTCTAGCTGATAAGGTTGTGTGAAGAACCAGGTTAGCTGACGTGGGACTGCATAGGCTATCAAAAACACAGACAATGCATTGTCCCTGCAGCCAAGACAGTTCTAATTGTAGTCTTCAACACATGAAACACCTTAATATAATAGAACTAGAGGAAAAACAAGGGCATGACTGTGCAACTTCAGGTAGAGATGATTGATAGCATGAGTCACTGTCTTGTGAGATTCAAAACAAACTGACACCAAGAGCTGCTCCGAACTGCTCCTTGCCAGTCCAACAACATTCAAAAGGAAAGCAAATATGAGAACATTCAATATCACTGTATATTGTTTTCAGTTCTAGGCTTTCATTGATGGACTGATAACACTTTCATATAAACTTTCTTTTTATCTTCTCATCTTCACGACATTATATCCTCTGGAATCTGATAACAATGGTCATCCTATCAGCATTTGTGAACAGCCATGTCCTATGAAAGAATGACCATCAAATGCTACTGTTCTCTTAAGCCTTTTAAGGGGTATTATGGTCCCAACGGGAGGACGCTGAAAGGTGCAACATGATCAATTTTTGTTCTTTCACACTAAAGGAAAATTATCTGCTGTATCACCAGGTATGTATCTGGCTCTCTTTGAGGAGGCTGCAGTATGAATGTTTGGCCTTGAAACCTGTGTGTGTGTGTATACACATGTACACATGAGTGTTCAGTCACACAGTGGGGACCAAAGCCTCTTTACACACTCACTGTGGCAACTCAGCTCTCCTTGTGGGGACCAGTTCTTTAAATATTAGGATGATGACTTGGTTTAAGGTTAGGGTAAGAGTTAGTATTGGGCAAGTAGACATTATGGTTAAGGTTAGGGTAAGTCTCCAGGAATGAATATACTGTAAGTCAAAGTGAAGTCCCAACAAGAAATTACTACAAACGTGTGTGTGTTTGGGAGGTGGAGCTTCTGTCATTCACCTACTCCAGAGGAGGATCACTTGAAGTGCATCAATAAGAAGCTAAAACGATCCCCTGCTAAGAACTCGTACTCTCAGTTTCACAAACTCACAAGAACTTACAACAGTCTTTCAGAACAAGGAGAGGGAGGAACAAAAAACAGTAAGTTTTATGTTTCTATCCTTAGACACCAACTCACTCAGACACCAAATGCCTCAATAAAAATTGTGGCAAGTTTTATATGTTTGTCTTTTCTCAGATAGTTTTGCTAATTATTGTGTATAATAATGAAGTGATGGGGATATCTAACACAAAGACACATCTGGAGTTTGAGGGTCACTTTTAAAATGTAACAAGTTATTCTTTGATTTTATTGCAGTTAATGGGTTAAGCACCTAATCCGTTGTGCTGTCTATACTTTGCATTACTTTCAGATTATTTTTTATCTTAATATCAAATACTTATTATTTTATGCCATTTAAATTTGCATTAAGTGAGTTCTGAACATTACGGTAAAAAAAACTTACAAAACTAATATAATGTCTTCATTTATATATGTTTGAAGAGAAATTATAGGAGGAAACTTGAGTGAATAACCCTTGAGATTATATAAATATCACAAGTATTCTTTATTTTAAATTAGAAGAATTCAGATTTCTGAATTTACTGTATGTGTATGTTGCTTCAAACTCTGTTCCACCATTAATGTGAGAAGTGGTATCAGAGATGTGCAATTATTGATTTGAATTCAAAAACTCTAAGACATTTTTTAAGTCAAATGTAATCGTGTGTAACTTACTTTCTGACACTGTGCTGAGCATTTAGCTGGGTGCACATTAATCCATCCAGTACTGAATACTTTTTCAGATGGTTGTATTACCAACTATTTTCCTCTTGGGGTCGCTGTTTCTCTGTGGTGGTGTGGAGGCCCAAACCACCGCTGATTTACTGAGACCTGATGCACGTAAGCCACACAACTTATCAACTTTTATTCATCCACACAGTATATGCATGTGCATTTCATATTAATGGCACATTGTTAAGTCTTTTGTGAATAATTTGCAACTGTATATGTGTTTTTTCTACAGTTTAACCATTACAGTTGACAGAGCATTCAGATCCTGACACAGTTATTCTGCCCTGCATATTGAACCTCTCTCTCATGAGGTCTTCTGCTCCCCTTCCTTTGTTTTTCTTTTTTCCCCACTCCTCCATTCTGTCCCAGTCAAATTGAAGGGAACTGTGACCTGTGACAAATGGGACTGCAGCTGTAGTTTCAGTCACCAGCGAGGCTGCTGCTGTGGAGCCCAGGAGTTATACCAGCTAGAGGGGGATACCTACGCAAGGATGGAAAATTTGTCCGGGGGTATCAGCAGACTGAATAGTAGGATACAGGCACTCACAGGTAAAAAAAAACAAACTTACACTGATGGATGGGAGGCAGAATAACATTTATGCTTTACTGTACAATAAATCTCTCTTTCTTACTCTCAGCTGGCATGAAGATTGCCTTCAAAGCCACGATAGACCCAAATCTTGCCATTGCAATTTCTGGATTTTCTGAACGTTGCTTTGGTCCATTCACTACCAATATGCCCATCCCCTATGCCAGCATCACCTTTAATGATGGCAGGGGATACAACCCTTCCTTGGGTAGGAAACACACAGACACAGAAGGAGTAAACTCAAATGACTTTACTCACCATTTTAAATTAGAGGCTCATGTATACATCCCTGCAGTTCTATTACCTCTTCACCTTCCTCTCCAGGTGTCTTCACTGCCCCTCTTGCTGGCGTTTATGTCTTTTCCCTCAAAGTCTACTCATCTGTGGAAGAAAATGGTCGCCTCTACCATAAAGTAAACAAACCATGACAAACCTGATTTCATGATCCTTTCAAATGGTTCGCCTGCATAGCAATGCAACAATGTTTGTGTTATTTCTGTGATTTCTTGAATCTGTAGGTGCAGCTGATTTGGAATGGCAGGCCAATGTCCAATGTGTGGGAAGACAATCGAGAGGATAGTGAGGACAGTGCCACTCAGGTAAGAACAAGAATGAAGTAACATGGGTTCATAAAGTGTTGCTACATATAGTTCTGCACATATTACAATTACAGATCAAATTGAAATTGTGTGTGTGTGTGTCGGGGGCTATTAATGATTTTGTAAGGGCTATGTGAAAGGTGACACTGTTTTCTGTGTATGTTCTCAGATTTTGGTAGTGGAGTTGCAGAAAGGTGATCAGGTCTATGTGGAGCTGATGTCTGGGAGGAGGCTCTGTAAAAACCTGGAGTACAACATTTTTACTGGTCACATACTGTACCCCTACATTAATGAGTGATACACGAGCCACAGATCCGGGCCTCTTAAATGTTCTCTCTCCAGAGCCTCAGATGAATTCATTTATCCTCACTAAACTGAGATTAACAAACTAGTTGTCTTACTTACATGGTGACTTAGGAGATATGGGTTTGTGACCTATTGTGGGACAAGCCCTGTAGTTTAAAAACCCCTACAAGACAAATCATACATACATAGACTCATGCATGTGTAGGCAAGCATTTTTGATCAAGTGCATAGAAACACACACACACACACACACACACACACACACACACATATGTTTGTCTAACATGACAACAGAAGTCAAATGTTTGGAGATATTTGCATTTCTAATATAAATATATGTTTGTGAATAAACTACCACAACTACAGTGATGGTGTACATTTAAAGGAAGTGTGAATTTGTTTAGATTTGGACATAATGAATGTTTATTTGATATGCAATGTACATTTATATTCAGTTTTGGTATGTATTTCAGTCCTTTGCCACACATTTTCATAGTCCATGAATGGAAATGGGTGGCAGTTAGATGCTTTGTTATAATTTGGGAATGATAACAGTGTATCATCACCCTGCTGCTCTTAACATTTGATCTATGGCAGCGTTGCATAATACTGTAAACAAGTGCCTTTCATGGAAGCTCATTACAAAAGAATATAAACCACTGTCAGACTAAGAAAATTCTTTCAGTTGAATAAGCACATGATGTAGCAACTTACACACATGCACCACATACTTAGACACACACACTCACAAACTAGCACAAACACACTATGAGTCTAGAAACACTAGTAATTCAGTAGGGAGCCTCCAGGTAACAGGTTTGTGAGTCCATCGTTTAACATGATTGATAGCACTCATACATAAAGCTACAGCTAGAAGACATTAGCTTAGCTTAGCACAAAATTGAAAACATTTTGTTTTTGTATGTATTAAATACAATGACCATTTTATTTGGGTTTTTTCAGTCTTCTTGTTCCTCACAGTCAATTACCAAAATAAAGTCAGTCACATAAATACATAGCAATAAAATACATGAAAATGTGCATGAACTACATGAAAATGAGAAACATCAACAGCAGCCACAGCAGAAGAGTACATCTGACTCATGCTAAAGTAAGTGTGGTTTCATATGAGTTTCTCATCTTTAGTGTGATGTAACCTCAAACTTTCCATTGAGCTATAAAAACCAACTGCAGATGCTTAAAGTATGTCAGATTCAAATACACACTTTATGTACCAAAAAGTGTCTGTAATTGATTGGAAGTGATGGAGTGGTGGTGGCTGGGTGTGTAAGGTTGGCACACATACACACACATATTTGCACACAGACAAAAACCAAGTCTTTGCCCTATGATGTACTGATTCATATTTGGGGAACTTGCTTCTTGTCCCCGTAAGGATAGTTCCTACAGTGAGGATGTGTAAACAGGTTTATGTCCAAGTACATCACACATACACTGAGCACAGCTACTGAAGAGAACTCAAGACTTACATGGACTTCTCTGTCTTAGCGATGACTCTTTCACTCCCACACATTTGTCATTTCTGTCCCCCTGCTCTCTCCTTGTCTGCTTCTTCCCCTCCTTTCTTCTCTTTCATCTTCATTTCATTTGTTCCTTCCCTCTGCTTGTTCCTCTTCCCCCCTTTATCCTGTCCTCTCCATCATTTTTCTCCTCTCCTCTCATACCCTTGCTTCCCTCCTTTTTGTGATAAAATGTAGAACCAGAGTCATTTTTGAACCAGTTTGACCCCTACAATGTGGGACAGTGCTAACACTTTAATCCTCCTTTCCACATCCAGTGTGGCTCTTTCTCTATTACATCTCATCTCTACTCCCTCCCCCCTCCTTCCAGCCTCCAATCCTCTCTTCACCATCTCACAGCCACTTTGAAAATGAAGCGAGCTGTAGAGAAGGTATTTGGAGAATTCCT